TTAATAAGGGTAGGAAAAACCCGAATGGAGACTCGTAAGGTTAGTGAAAACCGCGAGATCTTAAATATATTTGACGTAATTTTGATGACTTATAAGAGACTCATAAGTTTCAAATAAATTTATTTCGTTATTTTCGTTTTAGGACCAAAACACGCTCGTTGATTTTATCGAATTTATTAAATCTTGTATGAGAATAATTTCCAAATGTTGAATTTAATTTAAATGTTGAATTTAGAAATAATTTTACAAATATTACATAAGAATGAAATTTTAATCTTGAATATTACATTAAATGAACTTTGAAGTTTGGTGTGAAATTAATTGAACTTGAAAACGCAAATTTCAATAATAATTAAATTTAATCAACTGCGCATACCACAAAATGTTACAGAAATGAAGGGGATAAATTTAAATTAATGTCAATAATAGCAATGTAACTAGCCCCATAGAACAGAATTATAAATTGAAAAAAAAAAATAGGAAAATAGAAAAAGTCCATGTTTGAATTATTGGTACTAAATGATTTCATTTTAAATTCATTTCAATTTGTTGGCGTTATATTGAACGTAAAATGTTTCCTAAATTTTCTCTACAATTATAATAAATTTTATTTTGAAAATTAGTAAGCAATTGAGTAAATTTGTTTCTGTCTAGATTAACGATAATAATATCTTTTCTAATTATTTTTTTATATAATTGTTCATACTAAATTGTAATTTCGATTATTTGCGGTAATAGTATTAGAAGTGTTTGTCATGTTTTTATTTTGAAATTTGAGTAAAGAAGTATCACGTAACATTCGGTTTCAAATTTTAACAAGGCACGGAATACAATTTTGCTTATGATGTATTAACTTCGTGAATTTTATGAATCTTGATGTATTTTACAACACCTTTATTTCATTATTATTTAAAATTTTTGTAAAGTATTAATTAGCGTCATATTTTTATTCAATTGAAATTCCATAAATTTGATATTTTGATTTTGCTTTTTAAATAATTTTATCGTAATTTATTTTGTTTTATTTGGCATATTAATATTTTCATAGTTGTGTTTTTATTTTTATTGATAATAATTATGAATAACTATGAATTTCGAGCGTTCAAAGCTGATTTAATAAGACCTGTAACAAAAATAGAATTTCTATCACCACCTTTAATTATTTATTCACTTAGAACAAAAGTAATTTTGATGCATAGTATCAATAATTCACATGGAAATAAAATACAGAAAAAAAATAATAATAATTTGTATCAATTATTCTGAAATTGAATGGCCACTCATTTTTTATTAATATTGACATTCTAAATATGATAATTTCAAATTAATACTTTTATATTGTATATTTTTATAGTACAAATAGAATGCTCAAAATAAAATTTGAAAATAAAATCAAGAGGGCCTACAGAAATGTATTAATGTAGAAATATGTGACAACACACAATTATTAGATTACAAGACGAATTATCACTATCTTCCATTTCTATCTAGATGTAATGCATCAGAATGGCAACAAGTGTGCAAGCTATTTTTTAAAATTTTCGAAGATTGATGCAGGATTCTCATATAGTTAGAATTCAGTTAGAAATAATCGCGCGATTTTTAAACATCCTATTAAAAATATTGAACTGAATCTGACGCAGAGTATTTTGATCATTATTTGAAATTCGAATTAAATAAATAAAATATCATACAAAATTAAACAATTTATGATAATATTAAATTTTTTTTAAAAAAAAGAGAGATCTTGCACCTTGTTAATATTCTTATGCAAATATAAAAGTTGATTTTATTATTTTACTATCATAGTAGAAACTTCATTATATATCTTCTATTATAAACTATAAGCTCTGCTCACGACACCAGGAAAAGGTTGGACGGATCTAGCACCCCATTGGAGAGTGAATCAGTCTACATTTGGAACTCAACCCAATCCAATCAACACCCCACAACAACATCTCATATCATTTCAATACATATATAATATATATATATATATATATATATATATATATATATAAGGCAAAGGCAAGTCCAGCCGTTACTGAGATAAAGAGCAAAGAGTGCGAAAATAGAAATCGAGTTTTTGAGAGAACGGTGCATCCGATTTTTTGTTTATTATTATCTCTTTTATTTACAACTGTCCAGTAAAGAACATTCAATAAATTTGATGAATTTACAATAGTCGGCCGAAAAGGGACAATGTATACTACAAGGGCATGTTGGAAAAAACAAATCAGTAGTTGTTTTTGCATTCGATATAAAATTCACAATATTTTATTGATAACTAGCTGACCCGGCAAACGTTGTTTTGCTAAATAAGGTATATTCTAAACCATTTCTAGAGAATCAAACATATTAATACTTTAAGTGCATAAGGATGTGTTGTTTGAATGCTGTATACAATTAGGTATTATAAAAACAATAAACCCCATTAGTTTGTCTATATTTTGTCAATACAATCAAACTGCAAGTTTTATACACTTTCTATAGAAAGCATCGTATAATCCAATCCGAGTCTTTTTTGGTCTTTCGGCTTATTAATTACGTTTCAAGTTTTTCAGATTCTTTTTGAATTCTGGATTTTGTGTATAATTGTAAATAATACTACTGAGCTTATACCAAATTTTTAAATTTTTGCGAGGAGAGATAAAAAATGAATTAAGTATTTCTTCTTTGACCTGCTTTTGAAAAGTTTCAAGTTACATTCGATGAATTAAAGTAAATTTAATAAAAAGTATATATGTAGAGCAGGGCGAGACACAAAGGTCCAATTTGACTTTGAGCAAATGTAAACTATATTGTGAAAACCATAACAATTATATCACAACAAATAACACACATCAAACGAACAATTATCTGACTACGTTCAGTAATATGACTTCTACTATCCTATATGCGGGGTAACTTGTACCGGGCAGGTGGCAAAAGGTTTAAAGCCTTATTATAATTTTAAAGGTATTTCACAAAATAATTACATTTTTAACTAATGCTAAAACTACCAACGGAAGAAAATACTTTTATTATGGATTTTCAAAGATTACCGTTTATCTCCCCCATTTCAAAGATTATCGTTTTCAAATCAAGTTTGTAGCTGGCTATACATCTTTTTTCCTCTACTTTCAAATATTGTTGTTAAACAATGCTTAACTTAACTGATTTTTGGCACATCGGTGGTGGACCTTTTTAATCCCGGACCTTCATATATTACTATCTATTCTGCGATAAATTCTGGGAAATTATAACTGGAAAAATGTTATTCGACAAACTGTTCATTTGATCGATACCAAATTTAGGTTCTGAATTTAAATAACATGAATAAAAAATAATATAACCTAGAAAATGTTTTATAAGTACCAATGAGTATATAATTATACAAATGAGATCTTTCAAAGCACCGTGTTCGAGAAAAATATGCCAAAAAGTGCATTTTCATATTAACATATCAAAATAGTTTATATTTTGAGTCTCTAGTAACACTTGCGGCCCGTTTACTAACGTTTTTGTATTTAAATAAAACTACACACAAAACTACTTTCTACAAATTTATCATAATTAAATAATATTCGCGTAAAACATCCTATTAAACGTAATTGAACATCATCTGTCAAAAGCGTTTGACATTTCACGAAATTGCCACCGTCCATTGTTTTATTCAAATGACGCTTCTACAAAAATTTTCAAATTAAAAATGTAAATTTTCTACGCGGATTTGAAATAATTTCTCACCTTTTGGACTTTCTCTGGATTGGCACGAATTTTTCAAGACTAAGACTGGCCAAATCGATTCAGCCGTTTTCGAGTTTTATTCAGACATTTGAAAGAGAGCTCCATTTTTATATATAAGATTATATAATTTTAACTATTTACTTATTGAATCCGATTTGAATGATCTGAAAAGCATTCAATTAGTAATAATTGGGAAAAGGTTATTAGTTTTTGGCAAAGGCAGGCCCAGCCATTTCGAAGATACAGAACTAAATATACAAAAAATGGCAGTTTTTGAGAGAAATAAGCATTCGATGTGAATGATTCAAAAAACATTCTGCTTGTTTTGACAAAACAATTGCTTTTGAATAAAAAGTTCATTTAATTTTGTAGATCGAAAATAATTCAGATTTCAATTTTAATTCTGGCTAAAGTTCCAAAGCACACTTAAATACTTTAAACAAATATTTTTGACTTTGCTATTCAGTTCATATAATTCTTATAAATATTAGACAATGTTACAGTATTTATAATAGACTATCTGAAAACATTTAATATTCGTCTAACATTTCATTACGGTACGGGAAGTTTCTGCAATTTGCCTTAAGGCACGATGCCATACACCACTAGTTTTTAATTAGTTCGTTCTACGTTTTAATGGAAGATCTAGTTTAAAAAAATAAAATTATAAATATCAATAGCTACAGTAAAACTTAAATAATATTAATAATAATATGTATATATATATATATATATATATATATATATATATATACCTAAGTCTGTTTTTACACGGAGATTGGTTCCAGAAGAATCCGTGTAAAAAAAAAAACGTGTAAAAAAAGACATTGATCTTATACAAAAATGGGTGATTTGTTCCTAATCTCTAAAACCTATTAAAATTAGTGAAAAACAAGAATTTTCAGGGTATTCCCCTAAATGAGTGCTATTCATATTTGCTTTGACCAGTAAAAATTGTTTGTACGCGCTAAAGGGGAATTCACTTAGATCTTTAAGCTAGTGTTCGCAAACTATCGATACTATCGATGGTTTCAGACTTTTTTCTTTCATAAATACTTTTTTGTGATATGAACATACTTCGCAAAAATTAAATTTGACAAAAAAAATTAAGTACATAAAATTTTAAATCGTGCTAATTGGAATAAAATCGTGTAAAAAAAATTAAAAATATTCAATTTTCAAACCGTGTTATATCAAAACCGTGTACAAAAAGACCGTGTAAAAACAGACTTAGGTGTACATATATTGTTACTTGATAATACTAAGCTTACAATTACCATGACCGCTGTAGGTACCATCACGAATTACATCGACTGAATTCTAATGAACTTTACACAATAACTGGACATATTAAAAGCATTTGACTGACATTGTTTAATACAAAAGAATGACTTAATAAATCTATGTAGATACAAGTATTGATATCATAATGAAGCAGCACTACAAACTGTGCGTATTGATGCGTACGTAGTACTACTCTTCAACGTTACAGGTTGTGCGCCTGCGTCAAACTCTGTTCTACTCAAGAAAGATAATCGTTCGACTGTGCACCTGCATTGTAAGCATTACAGATCATATCTCACAAGCTTCTAAAACTCCTTCTCAATACATATATATATATATATATATATATATATATATATATATATATATAAATTTAAAAGCCGAATTTGACTCCGCTTCAGAGAGTAGTTATATCCGTTAAACAATTCCGACGACTCCGACAATTTCGAATCCTAACAAAGCTGAAATGCTCAACACAAATCGCTCAGAGCATGACTGCAGCGCCCATGCAGCGCCGTAATAAATATGAACTAATTGTGGCTATCATTGTGTGGTTTTCATGGGTTTTATATGTTTGTTAAAGAAAAAAGATATTAAATATTTGTTATAAATAATAATAAACGAGATACAGTAATAATGTGAACGCTGAATGTTTATTGAAATTATTAAATTTACTTCAACGTACTTAAAACATAATTAAGTATAATGATTAATTAAATAAAGAAATGCAGTAAACATTTTTAAGGTTAAGTGCCTTAAAGCTTATGTCATAATCTCGGAATAGTTCTTAATAAAAACAATATAATAATGATAAAAATATTTTATCAATAGAATAAGTAAATAATAAATTAATTTACTCATTTTTTTATTATTTTTGGTCAAACTAAAGACTTACAATAGACATTATTATAAAGACATGATTTGATTTCATCATCCATCAAATAAAATTGCAGGAAAAAAAACTACATTAAATTTTCGAGGCTTGTAAATTGAAGGAAATATTGTTGGCAAGTAGGTAGGACTCAATACCTCGTCCGATTTTTTCCTCTAATGAAATGTTAACTGCAAATGCGATCATAGGGTTTGGGAACCCACGGCGGTAATCCATCAACACTACAAATATATATTTTGCATTATTTCAGCATTGTATTAATTAAACTGTTTGCAAAATAAACATTTTAGCGCTATGTGATAACTTTTATTTTTCTTTTAATCATAAAATTACAATTATTATATAATAAAATGTAATTAACATATAGATAATAGTTATACATAATCAATATACAATATATAAATATATATTTTTCATTATTTCAGCCTTGTATTAATTACATTGTTTGCAAAACATTTTTTTCTAGTAAGCATTAAATTTTGATAATTTAACAATTTATTGACTTATAATTTTTCTTTTTGCTAAACATAACAATTTTACAACTATTCATAGTACTCCAAATTGAATTTTTATAACAATAAGGTTATGATACTTACTTTATTTTTTTAACCACTGCGATCCACTTTTCCCGTTGATTTTCTTCTCACTTAGCTGTAGAAAATGTATAGAATTTGCAGTCATTTTTTCTGCTAGTATTTCTACAAACCACTATACAACAGCTTTGGTGGCTCATTTTTAATTATCTTATTTAAATTTGAAATAAACAAATATTTTATGTGTTTTTGTTTAAAATTGCGGTTACAATAGTTACATTCAATGCTCAAAGTAGCCACTACGAACGCTTCGGTCGATTTGACTTCCCCTTCCATGCCTTCGCACATAGCCAATTGTACACTGTGTTGTTCATATACCCACGGGACGTCTCAAACCCAAAGGACTCGAGCAGGCATAACGCACGGTTCACGAACATGTCGCTCTCATACGCGCACGGCTTGAGACCTCTAAATATATATGTTTGTCCCTTTCTCTTTCGTCGCGTCGGTTTAGCGTTCTTTAAGGTTAGCGTTACGCTATATGTCGAATTATCATAGTTTTTGAGTAATTGAGTAATAATAGTGAAAATTTTATTTGTTCTATATAATTATATGAGCGTGTGTTATAAATAATTAATATTATTTATCAAAATACTCTAAAATTGAGTAATAATTGTGGAAATTTGATGTGTTCTATATAATTATATGTGCGTGTGTGTTACAAATATTGCAGCCGTGTTTGAAAGAGGATTGACAAAGAAGAGCATTGAAAGAGTTGGTTTTAAGGTTTGACTCGAACCATACTCAAAAGTTAAATTAAATATTTTTTGAAATGCTTTCTACTATGTTTATTGGAGGAGCTTCAACTTGTGGAGGCTATTCTTCTGAGCAAAGATATCAAAACACAATTGGTAATCAAAAGTTTATATAGATTTATTTTTATTTGTTAACTTTATCATATACTAAACAAACTTTTTCTTTAGATTCTGTATTTAGCCATCAGAGTCCAGCTATGAAAATCCATTTTTGATGATGGTTTGGCCAAAGAATTTTGCTAGGGACGAGGAAAGGGCAAAAATATATTTTGTGATCTAGTGCCTTGCGATGTCATCACAGGTAATTTATATATCTTATACTTATGATGTGTTGTAAATTATGAATAAAACTAATATATAATTAATTCCAGGAATTGCTTTGAAAAATTTGCCGCATGAGACATAGTTTGCTGTTTCAGAGGCTGCAAAAAGCTGGCTGCGACATTCCAATAAAAATTATACAAGGTATTTTTGTGAGATGTGTACTATGTTTTTCCTATTTACAAAAAAATCATGATTATTGACTGGTTAGTTGTATCAATGTTAGTGCAAAATTTGTGCTGTGTACACATTTTTAGATATAAAAAACCAAGTTTAATATTCACTCGTAATGACATCAAATTGTGTCGATATATTTGGAATTAGAGATTATTTTATAAATCTGTGTCTATTTTGATTGATGTATCGCTCTTAAAGAACTTACTCATATATATATATATATATATATATATATATATATATATATATATATATATATATATTTTTGAATATTCTTGAATTTGATGTTGATATATATGTTTAATTTGAGTTTAATATTCGGGCGTAACATCAATAAAAATAGTATGAGTTTTTTTTTTTTTTTTAAATTTATTTATTTAAAATCCATACGTTTCGGCTAGCATCTTAGCCATCATTCAGTGGTAATCAAGTTAAAATTTTGTATCCTAATATAGCATATGAAACCATTATTAATCCATGGTATGAGTATGTGCACATTGATAAGATATGTATTTTTTAACACAAACATCACAAATGGTAAAACACACTAATAATCATGATAACTTGACAAGTTGTCGAAACTATGTATTTACTCTTCGGAGTTTAGGATAGAAAAGGATAGAAATCTATCCTAAACTCCGAAGAGTAAATACATAGTTTCGACAACTTGTCAAGTTATCATGATTATTAGTGTGTTTTACCATTTGTGATGTTTGTGTTAAAAAATACATATCTTATCAATGTGCACATACTCATACCATGGATTAATAATGGTTTCATATGCTATATTAGGATACAAAATTTTAACTTGATTACCACTGAATGATGGCTAAGATGCTAGCCGAAACGTATGGATTTTAAATAAATAAATTTAAAAAAAAAAAAAAAACTCATACTATTTTTATTGATGTTACGCCCGAATATTAAACTCAAATTAAACATATATATATATATATATATATATATATATATATATATACATAGCTGGGCATTAACTCGTTAATCCGTTAATCGTTAATTAACGAAGTTAACATTTTGATTAACGGATTAACTTTTAAGTTAACTTTTAAAAATGTTAACGGACACGTTAACTTCCGTTAAAATGCGAGAAGTCCGTTAATCGTTAATCCAATGCCTACTATTTACCGCACGGCACAGCTTTAGCCAATGCCTTATTAAACGGCATAGAGAAAAGATTTGGACTACTCCTGAATGATGAACAGTGCCAACTTGCCGCGGCATTTCACCCAAAGTTTCGGTTAATGTGGCTGGAAACGTATGACAGCAGTAGAGAGGAATGCAGTAAGAAAATGCACGGAAAAAAAGGTAGAAGATGCCTTATGACAAGAAGCAGCGAAAAATTCGAAGGACAGAGATAGTTTAAGTGGCGGAGGGAGCAATGCGAGTAACAACGATGATGACGAGACGGAAAACTTTTTCAATTCTGTCACTCGGTCTATAGAAAAACCAAAGAACTCCAACTCTTTAGAGAATATAGCGCAAAGTCTCGTTAAAATGTGGCTGGATATGAAATCAAAAGACTCGTTCAACGATGCTGCATTCCTCGAGGAACAGATATTCATAAATCTATTTATTAAATACAATACTGCTATACCCTCAAGCGCTGCATTTGAACGTTTGTTTTCCACGGGTAAAGACATTTTGACACCAAATCGAGCCTCGCTTTCAGACGAGAACTTCAACATGTTAATGTTCATGAAGGGGAATATGCACCTTATGCCCGACGCTTAACCCGTCGCGCGTTTCCTATTTTTCGCAAAAACTAGCTGTAAATGGAATTCTGTCTTAAGGCAATTAAGGCATCGTTCCTTAAGGCAAATTGCTGGTACTTTCCGTACCTAAAATTATTATTTTTTTAAAAACGATTAACATTTTTGAAAAAAATTTACTTCGAAAAAATAAGATTTTTGAGAAACTATAAACTATTGGACAAAAAATTAATTTTTTTTGAAAAAAAAAAGTTTTCTTTATTTTGACATATTTTGGAAGATCTGAACTTTTTTTCAAAGCAATTTTACTGCTTTAGGACTGCATAGAGACAAAATATAAAGCGCGTAAGCGTCGCTGTCTAAAGGATAAACATTGGTACGAAACCCATAGGAATGTAAATAAAATTTATACTTATTGTTAAAATCTCTATAAAATATCTGATAATTTGATGTGAATATGTCTAATGATCATTTTGACCGCCAAATGGCATTTTTTTTTACTTTTTTCATTAGATCTCCGAAACCGCTAGACCTGCCTTCATGAAAAATTGATCAGTTCTTCATAATTGTCAATACAAGTAAAATGTTTTTTGAATTATAAAAATCGGACGCTCCGTTCTCTTAAAAACTGAGTTACCGTTTTTGGCTCAATTTTGCCCCATATCTTCGGAACGGCTAGACCTGCCTTTGCCAAAAACTAATCA